TGACCAAAATTATAAGGTGCCAATTTCAGAATTTTTATAAATTTTATAATAGAATTTTCAAACTTTAACCTGACATGACTCTTGTTACACTGAACTTATTTAAAAAGGCTCAACGTAGCTCAATAGCTCTTAACTAAAATAATTGATTAACGTTGTTTTTTTTTCAAAAAGTGCATGGGAATTTGATCCATGTCAATTTTAAGAAGACCAATTATTTTGGATGTATTATTGTGACACACTGTAACGCGAAATTTGTTGAAACAACTGTATAAATTTTACAATGTTTGCTCAAATATTATTTGTAGAGAATTAAAACGAAATGCAGCCTGTTTAAAAAATCTTTATTATCAGCTAGAATTCCTATTCGTAATACAAATCCTCATTCGAATTATCCGTAATACAACTCAATTAATTCGAATTATTAGTTTAGTTTATTTTATTCGTTTATGCGTTTATTTGAATTATTCATATTCATTTTTATATCATTCGAATTATTCGAATCATTCAAATCATTCGTTTTATTTGTCTATTCGAATCGTTTGAATCGTTCGTTTTATTCGTTTATTCGAATCTTTCGTTTTATTCTTGTATTCGAATCGTTCGTTTTATTCACTTTATTACTTAAGTTGAGCAACCTCGAGTTAAAACTTGAATTTTCAAGAAAATAGGCTCTTGAAATTTTTTTAGGTAATGTGCATAAATAAAATTAATCATTTGTTACTTTAAAAAAAATTATGTGACGTCAGACTTGAGACCGGCTCGAGCCTATTATTTCTTGGCTCGAGCTCGAGCCGGTTCTGCTAGTTCGGAGCTTTACTTTTTTTAATATCTTTAATCTTTAAAAGACAATATATTCATTATATTATTCTAAAATCAGACAGCAAATTATTTCTCTGCTGATTTTCTTTTCTTTCTGGGTTCTGTGTTAATGTTCTAGTGTTTATTATTTTTCTTCCTTGGTAAATTTCATAATAATAAGTAATCTTTTCTTTTCTTAGATAAGTTTCAATTGCCTGAGTATCATTTATTTTGAAATGTAAGGAGCAATTTTTTCACCTTGTTCCTTTTTTAAAATACTTCTAATGGTGCTGTAATTTTCGGTTCCATAATAGATCTGATGATAATAACTAAATTTTGATCCCTGAAATCCTTGGTAATGCCAATGTTCACTTTATATTTACACATGTAAATATTAAATCAATATTTTTAGGATCAACCAGTTAAAATTTCATCTAATTTGATGCTCAACTTGCAACCCTTGATTATAAAAAAATTATTTGTGCTCGTTACAATACTGTTTTGCATATTCACTCATGTAAAGTATCAATTTCAGTTAAGATTAAATATAAGTTTATATGAGTACAACATAAGCATATATATATTTGCACAGAATTTTTAAATGGTAATAGTTTTTTAATTAAACGACTTTCCTTTTTTTAGTCTCTTTTACATCTTATGGATAAGAAAACTGGTAGAAAATCTAAAAGACCTTCACAATTTGTTAAAAGGAAAACTTGAAACACCAAGCCCAATTTGTCTAGAGGCATTTGCAGACTATCCCAATGTTGGTTGATTTGGGTTTATTTAATAAAATTCGCTTTTTTTAACAAAAGTATCGAAAATCACACTCTTCTATATCTGCGCCATGAGACAAAACATGCAATTTGAGATCTACTATTTAATCAATCTTTACGCAGTAGGTAGAGTTTTTTCAGTGGCAATGTCGTCGCATTCTTCAATTCTATTATTATAAAAAATAAAATAAAATAAATATACGTAAATTTTTTTTAAAATAAATTAAAAAATCGCTCAAAAAAAAAAATGGTACATTTATGGCTTCGTGCTGAAACAAAAGCTGATGAACATCGAGCAGCTTTAACACCAAATACAAGCAAACAATTAATTCAAAATGGTAGTAAATTTTTCCCCAATGTCATTTTATTGAACTTTTATGCTTGTAATAATACTTTATATGTGTTTATGTTTATGTTTATGTTATGCGTATAGGCTTTAAAATCACAGTAGAAAAATCTACGCAACGTATTTTTGATGATGAAGAGTATGAAAGGTTTGTAAATCTTGAAAAAAAATATTTATTTATTAATTGAAAATTTTATTTTCGATTATTTATTATCATTATCATTATTATCAACTTCATTATTTGATTACTTAGAATTGGTTGTACACTAGTTCAATCTGGAACTTGGAAAGCAGCTCCATCCGACACTTACATAATAGGTTTAAAGGAATTACCAGAAAATGACGATTCACCTCTTTCTCATACACATATTTATTTTGCACATTGTTATAAGAATCAATCTGGTTGGCAAAATGTTCTAAAAAGGTTTATCAATGGCAAAGGATTGCTTCTTGATTTAGAGTTTTTAAATGATGAAAAAGGTTTGTCAACAAATAATTAAATTTAATGTATTCATATTAATATTTATATTTTATAATTTTTGATAGGTCGTCGTGTTGCTGCATTTGGTTATCATGCGGGGTTTGCTGGAGCAGCTATTGGACTAGATGTTTGGGCACAACAAATTCTTCACCCCAAACAAAAATATCCAAGTGTTAACCCATATCCAAATGAGGATGATTTAATTAAACACATAAAAAATCGGTTGAATGGAGCTGGTATTTATAAAATTTATAATGTATTTTTAATAATAATCATATATATGTAATTCTCTTTATGTTATTAAAGTAGTGCATAGTGGAGTTTCACCTCGTATTTTGATTATGGGAGCATTAGGTAGATGTGGTAAAGGTGCATGTGATATTTCTCATAATGTTGGAATGGACAAGTAAGAATATATGTGTAAATTATATATATATATTTTTTTTCAATCCCCAAAAAAGAAAAAGGGCTATTAAATAATTTTTAACAAATAAAATAAATATATTAATATTTATTTCATAGAGAAAATATTATTAAATGGGATATTGAAGAAACAAAAAAAGGAGGTCCATTTTCAGAAATTCTTGATGTTGATATATTTGTTAATTGTATCTATCTTAGTCAAAACATTCCTCCTTTCATTACAAAAGAAATGCTTGATCAAAAAAGGAACCTTTCAGTGATTGTAGATGTCAGTTGTGATATAACAAATCCCAATAACCCTGTTCCTGTTTACAACATTAGTACCACATTTAAAAATCCAACAGAATTGATTGAAACAAAGTAAATTTTTTCTTTTAAATTCATAACTACCATCTTTTTATATCATCATCATCATCATCATCATCATATATGATCATTAATCCTAATTTACACATATACATCATAATAGGAATCCAAAGCCTCTTGAAGTTATTTCTATCGATCATTTGCCAACTTTGCTTCCTAAAGAGAGTAGTGAACAATTTAGTAAAGATTTATTGCCTAGTTTATTGGAATTACAAAATAGAACAAATTCAAATGTATGGTTGAATGCTGAAAAATTATTTGTTGAGAAAGTTGCTTTGGTTGATTCATAACAATTATTATTAAAAAAAAATACAAAGAAATTTATTTTTAAAAATTATTTATTAAAATTATTATTATTTTGAAATACAGAATTCCTATTGAAATATTTCAAACGTGACATTTTTTATAATATCATTATCATTTAATTAATAACCAAGTTATGATGAAAAGTTAATCATGAATTATTAATTATAAAATTATTATTCTTCCATATAACTAATTATCATAGCATCACAGTTATGAATTTTATTAAGTCACCTACTGTGTACATGCAAACCAATAAATCTCAATTTATTTATAAGCTCACTTATCAACTCTTCATAATTCTCTTCATATGAACAAATTATATAATCCCATAGATCTTTGCAAGATTTCCCCAACATGAGATGCATTGGCATCTTTGTCAACAAATGCAGTCAGGGAGTTTTCCAAATATGGAATTTCTAAATACTGTAATGATCAACGTATCTACGAAATGAATCATGTGATTCTTTTTCATTGCTAATCCTTTGAACTGTGGGCGATTTGTTTCATTCAACAACTCAATCAATGATTGGATTATCAATATCAATTCCTTGTTTGACATTGAGCTTTCTGCTGTTTGCTTTTCTTCTTTGTCAACAGTAACTGGAACAAGGTGAGTAATTCCAGATGATTTTGTTGAGCCTAGTAGTTTTTCTTTGATATAATCTGTTCTACAAGTTCAAGCTAAGGAGGTGAATGACCACTCCACTGCTAGAATGGGATTGTCATCAATGTAAAGATTTTTCTGTATTGGTATTAAACCTCCCACCAAATTAAATAATAACTTATACGAATCAACAAGTGTTTTGCCTTCGGGCTCATGTTTTGTTTTGCTTTGATGCATTCTTACATGATTTACATTGCCATTAATACCAAGTTTTTCTTGAATTGCTATTATATCCTTCTTCTTATATAAAAACACTTCATATAATTGAGCAAGTGTTTCGCTTTGATCAGATTTATTATTAGTATTACTTATCATACATATTTATTATAATAAAATAATATATTTAATGCAGAAAATACCACATAAATGTACAAATTTAGCAGAGAAAGCACAAGGTGTTAGATTATATATCCGATAATAATTCAGATTAATTTTCGGAATGTGGATTATTTTTGATGCAAATAGATAATGGTGCTTCGTAGTAGAGAATGGGCAGAGCCCAGAGTCAGTGACTCATAAGTAATTAATTCCGATTTGATTTTTTTCTCGCTCAAAGATATAGTGTTTAATAATATAACCAAAATGTTGTTTGTAAATTACGCAGTTTAAGAAAAACCTCTTATTGAAACATTAATTGATACAGGCGCTAACGCAGATTTAATTACCCAAAATTTATTAACGAGTTGGGTTTAGTACATCATGTAAATGAAACCAATTGTCTCAAATTACAAACTCCTGATGGAGCATTTTCTGTATTAGGAAAGGTTGAACTGCAAACTAATTTTAGCGGAGCTAGTTCTACTAATGTTGATGGGAAAAATAAAAGTATCGATTCCGTTGAATTCTTGGTTCTTGGATCAGATTGGCCTGGGCCTGATTTAGTGTTAGGAAACCCATGGTTGCAAAAAAATGCACAACGATTGATATGTGTAATAACAACTTTCTGTACATGATAATTTTGCAATCCCAATTGTGAAAAATAGTGAATCTGAAACTGAACCTGAGACAGACTCTTCTGATCCAGATCACCAATAGAGAATAAATCATGACAAATGTGTGTTTTTCTCTATATAATCAAATGACGTAAAATGATGTCAAGATCACACATATAAAAACATTTACTGAGATTGTCCATAGAAAAAAAATAAGCATAATTATAATATTTTTAACCTCCAATACTGAATATTAATTATTCAAATAATAAAAAAAGTTAGTGCAGTCTCATAATCTTGACTGTGTAAAAATATCCGAATGAAAATAAGGGTGTAGATTACGCAAGTTAATTGTTATAATGGATTCTAACTTTATTCCTATTAGATCGATTAATATAATTACAACTCTGAATAATTCATCATTAATTGTTGTTTGAATAAACCTTATTACTGAATAAAAATTTCTAGCAGGTTCGAGGACTTTATAATGCTACGCATGGATATATCTTTAAGACAGTTCTATTGGTAAAAAAAACGTGATATATTTCTTAGTGAGTATTATAAATATGCCTCGAATCCATTTTTCACCACTCTTTACTTCATCGCTATAATATTCAAAAGTTTAAAAACAGACTTTAAAACATATTCAAAATAAATAAAATCTAACAAATATTATACATATTCTAATTTTTGATCAAAGGTATGATATTCCAGAATAAAACCATTTATTTACCTAATATTAAACACTGATATTTTCTTTTTGACATCGTATAATCCCACATATGTTAAATTTTTTTTTTTTCATAGATGTCTCAAATCAATATTACCTTTATTGTCCTTGATCACCATTCTCATGTGATTTTCTATTAGTTCTATCAAGAATTATTTTAATGGGGATTTAACCACCCATGATGCTAATATCTTAAATTTCATCAGGCAACAATTTACCGAAGAAAACATCTTATATGATTCTAAGCTCACTGAAGGACTTGCTAAACTGAATACTGAACTTAATGCATGTGATGCTAACTTCACTGCGGAGGCGCAGAGAATCTTGTCGCTGATTAATTCTTTTACCACGAGACTTGATGAAATTGAACAAGTTCTTGAATGCTACAATAACCACTTTGGTAGAATTTCATCCTCTTTGATTCAATTAATGAATCTATCACAACATTCCAAACCCTATTTAATCAACGTCATGCAATCATCCAAAGAATCAAACAAGATCAGCAAAGTGAAACGAACCTATCTGAAGCTTCTTCCAATTCACACAATTCCTCTATTAATTCTTCTTGTTCTAATTCCTCTGCTAGTTCTTCAGGTATGATAGTGAAGCTGGAGTTACCATTACAATTTAAAAAATCGACTAACTTTAGCTAACTTGACTTTTTTGATCATAGGATCAAGCCAGTGATCATTTTCAGGAATTACATTAACTATCTGGACTTGCTTTAAACAGATCTTTGATAGGGATATGGCTCAGAGAAGATATACTTTTGACGAAATGTGTTATTCCGTAGCCATGCGCATTCGTGAACTTGGAGGAGATATTAGGCAATCAACGATCAAAAACTTTTATAATAGAAGTAGTAGTTGTAAATCAAATACTGTGGACCAAATTGGTTCATGGATAGATAGTATGGAGTAGCGGGAAGAAACTCTCATTTTATGGGTTAGGGCTCGAGTACTTCCTCCCTTTAAACTCGCTACTCTATCATTTTATATTGTATTAGTTTAGTCAATTTCATATAAAAAATAATAAAGATACATCTTAATTTTTAAAATAATAATAAGTTCACATATCTGTATTTTTTGCTCGATTAAATGTAATTATCAGGAATCAAAGATTCGGCGCTTTGCATCATATCCATACCGATGTCAGTTTCTTTGAAAACATGTTTGACACTATTATCGTCCATATTCCCATCCTCTTTTGATATTACCGCATTTCCATAAACGAAGGAATTCCCACTTATGTGTCTGATGTATGAGATTCAAGTCTCATTTAATCCATAACCTTGATCCACTTTTTCAAGTATATAATTGTGTACTTACCTCCAATAAATTCCTCGACCATATCTTCTTCGCAAAATCCAGAAGGAAGTCCGTAAATATATTTGACTTTATTTTTCTTTAGATGCGGGTATGAAATAGTTGAATGTCTTTTCCATATCGTTTCTAAAATTATATTGATGAATTAGAATTTTTCAAATTTGATAATCTATAGGGATGTTACTCATGAGTACTCATGTATGACAAATACCTAATATAGTAAAAATTGAGTCGAGAAAATAAACAATAAAAAAAGAAATAAATTTTATTATTTTTGTATATGGTTTAAATTAAAATTTATATAAAAGTTTTGTTTCCAGTTTATTTCTTGATAGTTTGGTTCTCGAAATCAAATTTGTATAAAAATTTTATTTCTGGTTGTCTTCTAAAAACTTTTGTGTTTGCGCTGTAAATATCTACATAATAATAATAATAATATATAATATGTAATAATAACGATCATAATAAAATACCTAAATATGATAGGTCAATATTGCTTTGTAACACTTGAGTACTCATGAGTGCAGATCTTTCTATTAATAGCATGATCTATGAGTACTCACAGTACTCACGGTACTCATGTTACTCATGAGTATCTGGATTACTCATGAGTAACCTATTATGAGTACAAACACTAATAATCTAATCGATCAAATAATTGGATATGTCGTGCAACATTTTAATGGGGCTGAGTATATAATAAATAACACATGCATGTTTATTTGTGCAATTAACCAAATTCGATTAATTAGCATTCATATGCATTCTTTTTCTTTATCTTGGCGTAAAGACTTCTTATATCTCTGCATTATCCATTCGATAGATCTAGAGTGAGACATGGAAGGAAAATGTTTAAAAAGGGCAGTATTTCGAGTTATGATTGTAATCATTGACAAATTGTGTTTTTTTATATACTTTAAATTCTAAAATTTCTCAATTAAAAAAATGGAATCTTTCTTAGTTAAATTCAAACCAATCTCAGCAATAACCATTTTCACTGCATTATATAAGCGGGTTGAAGCAGGTGAATGGACAGATGACCGCGAAGAAGAAATTGAGAATTTTGCTGGAGTGCTTGAGACTGCCTTGAAACTGGTTTCTCCGGATGAAGAAGAAAGATGGGGGAAACTTCATAGTTTCAGAAATGACAAGACTTTGGAGCAAAGAGTAAGTCATTATAATTATTGATAGTTTAAAATATATTTGATGTGATGAATTATTGGTTTTCTTTGGGGGTGACGAAATCACAAGCATGTATCATGGGGTAGACATTCATTTTCGTCACTTTCCGATTACCTCAATGGATGAAATATAAAGTGGTATATAGACTGTGAATGTACCAACGTCTTCTTAGTATAAATACTTCGCGGACGTGGCAGTAGCTGTTTATATACATTAAACACCGAGTATGAATTTTGTTGAGGCTATGTATTAATCATTGGCTATGGACAGATGACCGCGAAGAAGAAATTGAGAATTTTGCTGGAGTGCTTGAGACTGCCTTGAAACTGGTTTCTCCGGATGAAGAAGAAAGATGGGGGAAACTTCATAGTTTCAGAAATGACAAGACTTTGGAGCAAAGAGTAAGTCATTATAATTATTGATAGTTTAAAATATATTTGATGTGATGAATTATTGGTTTTCTTTGGGGGTGACGAAATCACAAGCATGTATCATGGGGTAGACATTCATTTTCGTCACTTTCCGATTACCTCAATGGATGAAATATAAAGTGGTATATAGACTGTGAATGTACCAACGTCTTCTTAGTATAAATACTTCGCGGACGTGGCAGTAGCTGTTTATATACATTAAACACCGAGTATGAATTTTGTTGAGGCTATGTATTAATCATTGGCTAGCCTATTCTTTGAAAAAATTTATTTTGAAAAAAGAAAATCAATCTGATCGCGCGCACATATTTATCATTACTGAATCGGTTTGAATTTCAGCTGATTAATGTTCTGTATTTTAGGTGTCAGAAGCATTTGATCATATCCGATCTTCACTGGAGCTCAACGCTTTGGTATGCTTTTTACTCAATGTTTCCAAAGAAAACCTGTATTGTTGCAAATGCTTATTCTTTACTATTGTAGAACGTGAAGAAAACTTGCCTCTTCAATAGAAAAAAGAGTCAAAATGTGAAGGAATCTTGGCTAATTGAAGCATTGAAAAACTTCGAGACATTGAAGAATGAAGTACATAAGGTTCGTATTTTAGGGTAAAGCTTGTTCTTTTTTCTAACATCTTATTAATATGTGGAGTTTAGTATGTATTAGCAACATCTGGGGACGAAAAGACCATGTGGAGGACTGTAGAGGAAGGATTGCGTAAAGTAAATGTGAAAGACTTGGGACACGCTCATCCACTATGCTCAGGAATATTGGATGATAGTTCTGAACCTTTTAAGGATATGTCAGAAGAGTTGCGCAATATTTTTAGGTCTTTAAGTAGAAAGTTTATAATACCAACAGATATTAAGTTAAAAGCTATTTGTGAAGAATTTGTCCAAAGCGAAAAGAAGAAGTACTTTGAGAAAGTCCCTAAATTGGTTGAAGGAGTAACTTTTGGTAAGTTTTTAGATGTCCCGAAACATTACATAAATTGACAAACCAGATGCTAGAAGCATTTAGTTGAATCTGGGGGTCCTCAAAGTGGAAGTTATATGTCTTGTCAAAAGAGCCCAACATAAGCAAGGGTTTGTGCATATGTGAGGTTATATCACCATTGCTGAATATTGTAATGAGTGATTTACCTATAGATTACACTATATGGGGTGCTTGGTATGTATAATTTATAATTTTTTATTAAGTCTTGTATAATCACTAACATATTTAAAAAGGGGGGATGAGGCAAGTTTAGCCAGCGCAGAACGCAAGGGTTCGAATAAGCTTGCAAAAAGACCCGACTACAGAGTTGTCGTACAAATTAAAAATAAGTCTATGGAGTTTGCATATCTTGAAACCGGTCGACCAGATTCTTCCGATGATAAGCAAAAACGAGATCATAAAAAACTCAATAGACTTCAAAGGACTCTATTGATCTCACGAGAAATCCTAAATATGAAAGATTGTTCAGAAAATTGATGATGAAAGAAATGTTGACAATATTTACAATTAATATCGTTGGGAGGGTGCTAGAATTACGCTGCATGAATAAAGAATCATCAATATATAAAAATTCCCTGCTTGAACGAGCAACCATCCCCTTATCCACCCCACACACAGAACTGGAGAATGTCTATCCTATTATCCACGTACTATTGACTTTCAGAAGCGCAATAATATGTACAGTATGTAAAGTAATGGATACTTCTGATTATTCGGTCAAAACAATGTCGATTACATCAGACTTGTCACAAACTTCCACAACATCGACTATTGCATCTCCACCAAGATCACCATCTCCATTTAAATTACAGAAAAGAAGCTACAAAGAATTCGAACAAAACTAATCATCATTTTTTTTATATATGTAGGTATATCCTGTATCTTTTTTTATTTTCGTATAAATAAACTGACCTGGAGGTCAATTCGCATTTACTTTTTACATTAACGATCACTAATTTTTCTGGAAAAAAAAATAAATCGATTAATTATTTACATATCCAATAATTTTCTACCACTACTACATGCTGAGAATATGAGTCATTAGACTCTGGGATTTGCCCATAATCAAATATCACCTTCACATCTTGAGTGTTCTTATTTATAATTGTTATAAAATCTTCATCAATTCTATGCATATACTTAGACAGATTTTTAAATTGCATATTGTTTAGGATTATCGGTAAATCTACTTTGAGTTTTTCGTCTGTTATTCTTAGATTTTCGAGACATATTTGATATATCTATATTAATATGGATAAATGACTTCAATTTTTATCTTCCGTAAATGTATCAATGGTCAAGGAAATAAAAAATATATTATATATAAATGGTTTACCATGGGTTTTTTTCAGATTCTACCATATTACATAATACATTTTTTTTCATTTCGTGCATATAGTATAAAAACATTAGATTCGATTTTTCTCAACAAAATTGAATTACAATATTTATATGTGAATAAGCTTTTGAATATATCTTGCATATAGTATAAAACAATCGCAAACATGCAATCTACAATGGAAAACATGCAATCTACAATCGATTCATTGAGGGAATTAAATTCCAAACTCGTAGCCGAGATTAATGAACTTAGAAAAGAGAATGGCGATATTAAGGCCGAAACTATCGAGGTTAAAGCCAATATTGCAAAATTATATGATGATATTAAGGAAATCAAACAATCTTCGGCTAGGAATTCGAAAGAAAGGTCAGCTCAAAAAAACAAAATTAATTATCAAAAGGCAAGTACAGAGATATTTAATCAAATGATTTTAGCACGTCCAGAATTAAAGATAGAGGATTTGCGTGAGACGACTGAAAAGGCTAGAAAAATTTATACATTGTTTAATGGAATTGGGATAGATAAAATCGGATTCTTTTCTGAATGTAGTATTGATGATATTTCTAGTTTAACAGATGCTCAAATACAAGATATAATAATATATTATACTGATAAACTTGCTATTCTCAAAAATTTTAGATAAGC